AGCCAGAGTGCTCCTTGGAGGCCAGGATGGCCAAACTTTGTCTCTCATACTTTGGACATATTGTCAAGAGGGACCAGTCGCTGGAGAAGGATATCATGTTTGTTAGGGTGGAGGGTCAGAGAAAAAGAGGAAGACCCCAGAGAGATAGATTGGCAAAGTGGCAGAATCAATGGGCTCAAGCGTGGAAACGATAGTGAGGTTGGCCCAGGATCGTGCAGTGTTTTGTTCTGCTGTGCATCAGGTCGCTGTTAGTTGGCACAGACGCAATGGCACCTAACCACCACAACAACAAGGATGAGATTAGTTAGATATATTTTTTAAAACAGTTATATTACTTATCCTGAGTTTCCAAATGGATTTATAGACTTTAACAAATTTACAAAGAAGTTGCTACTCTATTACATTATGTTTAAACTATAAAATTAATTTTGCTTAAGCAAGTAAAATTAATGTCAGATTTTCTTGACTAGAGTCTAATTCAAATCAACATGTATTATTTGGAATAAAAAATGCATTTATGTTTTAAATCTGCATTTTTAAAAAGCTACTTTACTTTAAATGGTGCATTTTATTGGCTTTTGTTTTTAGTAGATGCTTCTGAAATAATGTTATGAAGTCACTTCCAAGGATTCTTTCATTCTTCCACAATTCAGGGCTGTGCAAAACACAGTTGTTTGGCTCCTTCTACAGGTGCTTTTATGGAACTGTGATTTCCTGAAATGCTGCCACACTGAGCAACATAAAGAGAAACTGAAAAGCAAAGCAAAAACCTGCTGCCTGTGGAGACGCTTTGAGTCATAGAGACCATAAAGAACTTCTTAAGCTGTAAATCTTCACAGAAGCAGACTGCTTCTTCACAGAAGCAGACTGCTTCAAGGCAGAAGGGCTGGTGGCCTTGAACCGACAAACCTTTCAATTAATACCTGAATAATTAACCACTGTGCCCTTGGGGCTCCTTAAAAAGAGAGGTAGTCTTTCAAAACAAATTGTGGATTTACTTTAAAGATGTTTGGTAAAAAGATGTTCACTACAATATCCAGTGTTTTTGTTGTGTGTGTGTGTGTGTGTGTGAGAATTTACCGTGCTGGTTTCAGGATGAGGAATAGATTTGATGTCCTGGTGTGACACTGTAGGATAAGCATGGGACCATAAGGTCAATTGGAACTACAAGGTTCCTGGTTTAAACTCACCAGCCTCTCCTCGGAAACCCTGCAGAGGGTTGCTGTGAGTCAGAACCGACTCAATAGCACTTAATAACAACAAAAACATCTTAACTTTATTTTTTAAAAGTGTTTTATTGTGAATTATGTGATAGTTTGCATGGGAGAACATTAGCTTTACATTAAAAACATCTTAACTTTTGAAGTTGATTTTTCCCCCCTAAGGTGGGCAATTTTTTTCTTTTTGTTTATTTTTCATAGAATAAACAATTCAACAAATATTATAGCTTCTTGTATTTCCCTATTTTTACTGGCTGTAAGAAAACTTAGGACCAATTTTGTGTTCCACTTCTATTAATTGTTCATTCTGGTTTTATCTTGTTTTCTAACCATTTTTGCTCCTTTCCTTTTCTCACTTATTTTTCCTTTTTTGTTGTTTTTTCATCCTTTTAAATTATATGTATATTTTTTAGTCACCTTAAATTCTTTCTTTTTCTTTTTTAAAAATAACAGTAGATATAGATGACTAGTTGTTCTTCCTAATTTTCATTTTCCTTTCACTTACCCATTTAAAAATTTAAAATGTATACTGAAAAATTAGGAGTCCTGGTATGACACTATAGGATAAACACTGGACTGCTAACACCAAGTTGGGGTTCAAACTTACTAGCTGCTCCTCAGAAACCCTATATAGGGTCGCTATGAGTCAGCACTGACTAGATAGCACTTACCAACAACAACACACTATAAATTTATGGCATAATGAGAAGGTTTTGAAGAAGATTGAGGAAGAAAATCACTGACTCTGCTGTCAAAAACTGACAGTATTGATTTGGACAAGTTACTGCTCCTGGACCTCCCTCCTCATCCTTAAAGCAAGACACTTGGGTTAGATGGGATCTAAGGTTCCTCACAGAGCATTAAAAGGTAACAATTTCTGACAATTGCTCAATATGGATCTTCTAAACTGATAGTTGCTTAACTAATTTTTTGATTTTTTAAGATGTATGCTTAAGGTAAAGTTAGCTCATTATTTCAATAAGTTCTCTTTCCTGGTGGTCACATATTTATGAACTAAAGTGAACCCTGAAAGGAATTTTAAAGTCTAAGACCCATCTGTAGGCTTAATGGTTTTATTATTACACTGGGATTAATTAAGTGCTGATATGAAAATAGTAGGTAGCTCTCAATAGAGGTCAGATGATGCACCTTAATAACTTGTGAGTCCACAGAAAAGACACTTCTTTGCTCTCTATGCAGTATTAAGAGGAACCCACACTGCTTTAAGGAACTCTGGTAACGTAGTGGTTACGAGTCAGGCTGTGAACCTTAAGGTCAGCAGTTGGAAACTACCAGCTGTTCCATGGGAGAAAGATGAGGCTTTCTGTTCTTATAAAGTTTTACAGCCTCGGAAGCCCTGTACAGGGTTGCTATGAGTTGGAACCGACTCCACGGCACACAACAGCACTGATTTAACACAAGGCCCAACTCTGGACAAAACTTCTATGACTGAATGTGTGCTTTCAGCACCTTTTAAGATCTAGGGTTCCAACTTTGAGGTGGAAAATGTAATTCAGGGGTGGCTGCTTGATTTCAGTATCAAATGCATCTGTCACTTTCTACCTGAAATTCTCTTTTGAGTGAGAAGGGGGTTATCCCTGCCTGAGACTGGTTCAGTACATAAGGCACATATCTCAAACTGAGATGAGAAACAAGAAAACTAATTTTCACTCTGACAAAGAAGGTCTTGAGACTAGTTTGGATGTATAAACCACTAAGAACAGAGGACAGGATAGCCCTGAGATCTGAATCCTGCCAACAACTTCTTGAACACTTTGCAATCCTCTGTGTGTAGTAGCACTTGAGTTGTAAAGCCTCACTGGTTAAGTCCCTGGATTTCTCTTCTCTTATTCTTATGAACCCTCTGGGGTTATAGACAGCTGAGAGCTGAAGTCTGCCATCTATATTAAATTACCTACAAAGGAGAACCAATAAGACTAAGCTCTGATTTCTCAGCAGAAACCATGCAGGCAAGAAGGCAATGGGATGGCATATACAAAATTCTGAAAGAAAAGCATTGCTAACCAAGAATCATATACCCATCAAAGCTGTCCCTCAAATATGACAGTAAAATTAGGACATTTCCTGATAATCAGAAATTAAAGGAATTTATAATGACTGACCAAATTTACAAAAAAAACCTATCCAGGGTATTCCAAGCAAAAATAGTATCTTGCATACAGAAGTAGCCTGTGGACTGTGGGTAAGTCTGCCAGGTACAGGGGCCATCCTTGTCTAGTTTTTGTGGAAAAAACTGGAACTGAATCCTAAGTGGCTTTTTCTCATAAGAAAGGTCTGAGACAAATGTCTCTAGGTCAACAACACTGTGTTTAAATTTGTGTTTAAATCCTCCTTTTTTATTCTACCTTCAGAATTAACTAAACTAATAGATGTTTAAATAGAATTGCCTTTAAATGAGTCACCCCATTGGGCTCTAAAGCATTGGCCAATGAATCCAAACAGGAGGAAGACAGAATTTGGCAGAGGTCAAGGAAGAGCTTTCTATAAGTCTAGCTGCATCAATCACATGAGATCAAAAGTGCAGCATCTGACCAGGGGTAAAGCTCAGAACGTATGACGGAATAGGAAAGATGGACGAATTGAACCAGTAAACACAAGGAGGAAGTGGGAAGAGTGCTATTATACTGTGGGGATTGCAATCAATGTCAGGAATCCAAATAAGTATGAGTTATTGAATTCAAAACCAACTTTCATGCAAATCATAATAAAAAGTTTTAAAAGTATATATATAAATAAAGGTCACAGCTACATCTCAAAGAAGCTCCTGACGTGAGAGATACTCAAAGAGGCATAGGCTGGAAAAGAAGATGAAAAAGTCAGAGCAGAGATTAAATGTAACTTCTGACATTTTCCCAACTCTGAATTTTCATGATTCTAAGGATAAACATGGAGTCCTGGTGTGGCACTGTGGGGTAATGCACCAGACTGCAAAGCCATTTGAACTGCAAGGTCAGCGGTTCAAGCTCACCAGCTATTCCTTGGAAACCCTACATAGGGTTTCTATGAGTTGGAATAGACTCGAAAGCACTTGACAACAACAACAACAAAGGATAAACATATGCACAGAGTAATCCTTCTTTTGCACATATGAAATCATGCTTTCCAACACAATCTTTGAGACTTAGATGTGTCTGCTCTTACCGTTTCCAAACACCAAGCTGAAGGACGTGCAGAAGCATCAGAGAACAACCACCTTGATGTCCATCAGCTCGAAACCATACATAACTCAGGCCCTGGACCAAGATGCCAGGCAATAAGGCAGCGAAGGACAGCCAACCCCAAAGAAGCTGTCCAGTGATGAAGTAATAAACCACAGTGCAGATGCCTGGGGGACAAAAGAGGACAGATTAGTTAGGTTATTGGAAGGATGTACTGAGACTGGTTAACCAACACTAAGTTTATACCTCTAGCAGGGCTTTTTGCTAAACACAGTACTTGAGTAGGCAGGAGCCAATTGTAAATCTATAGCCAAGATGTTTAATGAACACTCTAGGGCTAACTAAGGTGCCCAAAAGATTAGACACCATGGTACATAAAGAGGGGTTGCTGGATCAAGCGCTTGGCTGCTAACCTAATGATTGGCAGTTAGAATCCACCAGCCACTCTGGAAAAGGCCATGGTAGTCTGCTTTTGTAAATGTGTATAGCCTTGGAAACTCTATGGGGCAATTCTACTCTGTTCTATAGTGTTACTATGAGTCAGAATTGACTTGATGAGAAAAAGTCTAGTTTTGTTTTTAATTAATTGTTGGCTCCAACTAGTGGCAACACTATGTATAATAGAACAAAACATTGCAGGGTTGTTTTCATGCTTATTGGTATGTTTGCATCATTATCACCGCTGTTCTGTCCCTCCATTATATTGATTCTCCTTTTCTGGAGATTTATCTTTCCTTAACTATACTGGATTGGTCTATATTGGATATTGTTTTTTTTTTTGTGATCCATATGGTTGCATAGACTAGAATTCAGAAGGAGATCATAGGCCTTTCTTCTGAGTATATCTTAGTCTGCAAGCTTTGCTGAAACCAGTCTGCCATGGGTTACCCTGTTATTGCTGATAAATGACATTGAGTCTATTCCTATTCAGTGACTCTATGTACAACAGAATGAAACACTGCCTGGTCCTGTGCCATCCTCACAATTGATGTTACACTTGAGCCCATTGCTGTTGCCACTGTGCCAATCCATCTTGTTGAAGGTCTTCCTCTTTTTCATTTACCCTCCACTTTACCAAGCATTCTCCAGGGATTGGCCTCTTATGTTAACATGTAGTATGAGAGATGAAGTCTCGCCATACTCCATACTGGTTTCTAAGGAGCAGATTGTCTGTACTTTTTCAAAAGACAGATTTGTTCTTTTGGAAGTTCATGCTAATTTCAACATTCTTTTCCAACACCATGACTCAAATGCATAAATTCTTCTATGGTCTTTCTCATCATTTTCCAACTTTCACATGAAAATACCATGGCTTGGATCAGGCACTTCTCAGTGCTCAAACTTACATCTTTGTCCTTAAACACTTTAAGTCCTGGTGTGGCGCTGTGGGTTAATGCTCCAGACTGCAAAGTGATTTGAATCGCAAGGTTGGCAGTTCAAGCTCACTAGTTGCTCCTTGGAAACCTTATACAGGGTCGCTATGGGTTGGAATTGACTCGACGACACTTAACAACAACAAAACACTTTAAAAAGGTCTTGTGTAGCAGATATGTCTAATTCAATGTCATTTGATTTCTAAACCGCTGCTTCCATGAGTGTTGATTGTGGATCCAAGCAAAATGAGGTCTTTGACAACTTCAATCTTTTCTCCATTTATCATGATGTTATTTATTGGTTGAGTTGTGAGGATTTTTGTTTTCTTTACACTGAGGTACAATCCATACTAAAGAATGTAGTTTTTGATCAGTAAGTACTGTAAGTCCTCTTCACATCCAGCAAGCAAAGCTGTGTCATCTACATACTGCAGGTTGTAAATGAGCCCGCCTCCAATCCTGATGTCAACTTCTTCTTCATATAATCCAGTTTCTGGGATTATTTCCTCATGGATTAGAAAACCAAAAGGGAAGAACATGCTCAGCATTTTTCAAGATGAAAGAAATGAAAATATTTAAGCCTTGACTTGCAATATTGAAGAATTCTATGGGCAAAATATTGAATAATGCAGAAAGCATCAAAAGAAGATGGAATGAATACACAGGAATACAGGGAGTACAAAAAAAGAAATGGTTGGCATTCAACCATTTTACGAGGTGGCATATGATTATTATTAAGAGCCAATGGTAATGAATGAAGAAATCCAAGCTGCACTGAAGGCACTGGCAAAAAACAAGACTCCAGCAAGTGACGGAATACAAATTGAAATCTTTCAACAGACTATTTTAATTTTCTTCAGCCTGAACTTTCATATGAGAAATTGATGGTTCAACCTTTTGTGTTGTTTAAAAAAGGTATTTGTATGAATGAGTCACTGGTTTTGCAGAATTCTATCATGCAATCTCTAGTATAATTTCTATTATCATGGCCATATTTACCAAATACTGATCCTTCCTCTTTGTTTCTAACCTTCGTATTCCTATCATAAGTAATTATCAATACATCTTGATTGCATGTTTGATCAATTTCAGACTTAAGAAGTTTGGATGTATAAACCACTAAGAACAGAGGACAGGACAGCCCTGAGATCTGAATCCTGCCAACAACTTCTTGAACACTTTGAATTCTTCAATTGAACACTAGAATTCTTCAATTTCATCATCAATTGGCTTTAGTGGTTGGTGAGTAAATTTAAATAATAGTTGTATTAACTGGGTTTGTCGGTGTATTAATATTATCTTATAACAGACAGTGCTGTATTTCAAGAGGGATCTTGGTATGTTCTTTCCGATGATGAATGCCATGCCATTCCTCTTCAATTTGTACTTCCTGGCATAGTAAACCATATTCAGCTTCAGAATAGCCAATACCAGTCCATTTCAGCTAACTAATGCCTACAATATCAATTAAGTGTTTCATTTCATTTTTGACAACTTCCACTTTTCCTAGATTCATACTTCGTACATTCTGTGTTATGATTACTAATGGATGTTTGCAGCTGTTTCTCCTCATTTTGAGTTGTACCATATCAGCAAATGAAGGTCCCTTAAGCTTTAATCCATTTGCATCATTAAGGCCAGCTCTAATTTTAGAAGGCAGTTTATCCCCAGTAATATTTTGAGTTCCTTCCAATCTGAGGGGTTCACCTTCTGGTACTCTATCTGACATTGTTCTTGAGCTATTCATAATGGTCTCATCATCCTGCACTATATCTCACAATGTTCCACAGCAATTTATAAGGTTTTCAGTGGTTACATATTCAGAAGTAGTCCACTTCTGCTTCTTCCTAATCTGCCTTAGTCTTGAGAAATCTGTCAACCACGTGTGATCCTGCTGGTATTAAAAATGCCAGTGGCATAGCTTCTAATATCACAGCAACACATAAGCCACCACAGTACAACAAACTGTCAGATAAGTGAGGGTGTTTTACCCTGCTGGTATTTGGAATACTAATGGCATAGTTACCAGTATTATAGCAAACTGCAAGTCACCACAGTACAGCAAAACTGAGAGCCATGTGGTGGTTTGATAATGGTGGGATAGAGTAATGTAATGGAGAGAGACAAATTATGTTAGAATCTGCATTACCCAAACATAACAGATTTAACTATTACTACATGCAAGTGACTTTGCAACGCGCTTATATGCATTAACACAATTCTTTCTTTGAGATAGGTTATGTTTTCTCTATTTTTCAAATGTGAGAACGTACTGGGTGTGTAATTTTGGACCATAGCAACAATATGACGGTCCCACCTACTTCTGAAGATAGTTGTGAGGTTGATGATGTAGATGGTGCTTTGTACTATGACCAGCACTTGTAGGCACAAGAATATACAGATTTTCCTGTTTTTGACAGATTCTAACGTTTTAAAAAAATGGATTTCTGAGCACAAGTGGTGTATTTTAGCAGAAACAAGAGCATTGTTGCAAGATACAGATAAAAATCCTACAGCTCTGATTAGAGACAGTCATGGCTTTTGAAAAACTATTCCTTGGTCCCAAGGTTTCTTCTCCAGTGAGCAACCACCTTGAATTTATTGCCAAACACAAAATAACAAACTCGGGCTTCATTAGTGGTGGTGTGCTTTGGAGTTGATTCCGACTCATAACGACCCTAAATAGGATTTCCGAGGCTGTAAATCTTAAAGAGACCAAGACGCCTTATATCCTTCTCCAGCGAAGCGGCTGGTTGTTTTGAACTGTTGATCATGGGGTTAGCAGCCCAACTGAAAACCACCAGCTACCAGAGCTCCTTAGGGCTTCATTAGCGCACACACACAAAGGCTTTGGGGAGAGCAACCACCTACGCATTGCTGAGGAATGTGTCCAACGATAAGCCACTGTAGCGGGTGCTGAGACCCACTGTATTGTTTTAGCCCTCCCCATTGCTAAATCTGGTGCCACTTTAGAACTGATTTAACACTAGCTCCTCCTCCAAAGCCAAAAGCTTCCTTTCTTGCCCTTGAAAAAGCGCGCGGGTAATCGACCGCCGGACCAGTCACGTAAACAATGAACAGTTAACCCCCGAAGAACAGGAACTTGCTACAGAGGAGTAAAATTTTGGAGTGTTTTGCCCCACCAGGGTCTACAAATGCTTGTGTGTTGGGGAGGGAGGCACAGAGTCCAGGGGATGTTGATGCTGGAGCTTCCGGAAAGTAATCCCCTAACTCCCCACACTGCTGACGAACCTAGCGCAGAAGGAAAGATACTACAGGGCCTGGGGAAGGTGGGCGGAGACACTTAGCTCATTCCCCGAAAGAGTTACAAGTTCAAACTAGAAGGGCGCCAAAAACTGTTGCCATCTTGCTTTGCTTCAACTTTCAAAGGCTGGTCCCCACACCCCCATGCGTCGGGCATGTCTCCCAAAAGCGACTGATTAGTAACCTCTGTTCTCCCGGTTCCTGGCTCAGAAAGTGGCGGGTCTGGAAGGACTACCGTGGTCCTTCCACGCTGATAAGGACCCCTAGCCGGCCGGACAGGAGATGATAATCAGGGACACACTTCAGCACCTTGTTAAGCAAGACTTTCACCCCCCAACCCTTTGCGGAGCTCGGGAGGGTTTTCTGGAGGGTTTTCTGGAGGACAGAACTAAATGAAAGTTCCCCAGTCTGGAGTGGGACTGGGAGAGGGTTTGGCATAGTGTGGGTATCATGCATTCATGGGGATCCAAGTAAGATTTGGTGGGTGTGTCTGGCAAGCGGATTAGGGTGCTTTCGTCCAAGCAAAGGAGGGGGAAGATGCATGCTGGGGCGCTGGAGGGTGGGGTGTTAGTGTCGAAGAGGTGAGCAAGGGCTGTTGTCCCCACGCCTCTGGCTGTGCCCAGACTCACGCGCACTCTGCTCGGCCGCCACCAGCAGGGCGGAGAACCCCAGGAATCCCGCGTGCATCCTCGGCGCCAGGCAGCGCCGCCCGCCGGCCCGCGCTCTCCCAGCGTCCGCGCCGCCTACTCCCCAGTGCCCCCCTCTCTTTCTTCCCAGTTCAAAGGCGGGAAGGTTTCCGGCTGGAGACCTAATTGCTGGGGAAAGCTCACCCTGCACGCAGTGCCGGTTTCTGGTTTTGGCCAAATTGCCACTAGAGGGAGGGAGGGATGGCAGCAGCAGGGAGACAGTATAACTCAGATTGGACCTCCTAATTATGGGTAGAAATCATTTTCTGAGCTGTTCTCTACCCTATATAACAGCACCCTGGGAAATGACTTAAAGAAGGTTACAAGACAGACGGCTTTTATGGTAGTCACGTGGAGATTAAACAGTTCGCCGCCTGGGTCCACAGAAAGAAATCCTGGTCCAAGTGTGTTTATGTATCTGAAGTTAGATTAGAATAGTTAATTGGTCTTTTCAAAGTTTTTCAACCAGGACTCCTACAATTATGTGGACAGGAAAATATAGGGTGTCTTGAGGGGCATTTTAGTCTACATTTCACTTACAAATCCATCCCAATCACAAAATCCTTCTTCAGATCTACAGAGAGCGTAAAACTGTGCACCTGTAGATGTTCTCTTGGGATTTTTTCTTTAAAGAACAAATAAACCTTTAGACATGGTTATGATGAAGTTTTTTTTAAAGGTCTTGCTAACACAGTGGTTAAGAGCTCAGCTACTAACCGAAGTCAACTAGAGGCACTCTGAAGACAGATTTGGCGATCTGCTTCTGAAACGTGTTGAACTTCTCTATGGAGAAGTTCTACTCTGCACACCTGAGGTTATAATGGGTCAAAATGGATTTAGTGGCAACTAGCAACAATTCTGATAATCCTGGTGTGGTGCTGTGGGTGAATGCGCTGGATTGTAAGGACGGTTTGAACGTAAGGTCAGCAGTTCAAGTTTACCAACCGCTCCTTGGAAACCCTATATACAGGGTCGCTATGAGTCGGAACCGACTCGATGGCACTTAACAACAACAAAATAAAACTATGAAGTCACATATATTGGTTCTTCTCTACAGTTTTAATGTTATTCCTATAATTTATTTAGTTTAAAATATAAATTCCCCCTCCCTAGTTTTCCATTTACTTTTCAATGTATTTCTGTGGGTTTTAGTCTCTTAGATTTCCCACCATTTTTAAAACTCCAAAAAATATATAGACTCTCAAAATCTTCTATAAATATTTCAAGTCTCTTCTCTATGAACTATATAAGGATAAAAGAAATCAGTTCCAAAGTCTGGATTTACTTTTTTTTTTTTCCTTTTAGCTTCAGTTTGCCCAAAATCCTTACACCATTCTGCTCACTAAAAATCTTCCTTTCTATTTATTTTAATCCCTAGGTCTTTCTTTTTTCTTGTTTCCCTGGCAAAGGAAGGAAATCATAATTTATGTGTATAGAAGACTAGAACCTGTTCTAGAAAAGGACTATAAAATTAAAAGCACATATATAACTTAGAATTAGGAGAAAAGGATGCTTATAGTTGTGAAGGGGTTATTGCAGAATTCCTTCTTTGGTGTTTAAAGCTTTAGAAAAAAAAATTTTTTTCCCCTAGGCATTCTTTGAAGCACGTATATATGTATTCTATATAACATATGGGAAGCACAGTGGTTTAAAGGATAAGCACTGGACTTTGAAACACAAGGTCCGTGGTTCGAGTTCTGTGGGAGAATGATGAGGCTTTCCGCTCCTGAAATGATTTATAGCCTCGAAAACTGACTTGACGGAATTTAACAACAACAATAATAGTATATAATACGTTGGAAGGAAACGTTCTATTTTTTTGAACATTTGAAAAAGGGTCTTTCTTCTGGGACAGCAGCAGAAGTGTTTTTGAATAAAAATACTGCTTTTTGCCTTGAAGTTATGGGAGAGATTTTGAAAAGAAACAGAAAAATAAGATGTAAGTGGATACTGTCCCCAAAGAATTGCCTCAGTTCAGAAAGTATTGAAAGCTACCCAAAATCACAACCAGGGAATTAGTTAACTGTACCAAGAGCACAGATGGTGGAGGTGAGGAATTGTTCAGAAATCTCTAAAACTAGAGAGTCATTTGTTGTTAGAGTGAAAACACCTGATCCTTCATGTAGCCCTTTTATGTTAGATTGTTAAAAATGACCTCAAATTCCTTCCATTTGTACTTCTTTGCAATGTGACTTTGCCACTTCTTCCATCAAGAGATGGCACTTTTTCTTTACCTCCTAGAATCTGAGCTGGTGTTGTGATATGCTTTCACTTAAAGAATATGATCGAAGTGATATTGTAGGAGTTCCAAGCCTAGGCCACAAGAAAATTTGCAGCTTACTCTTTTTCCTCATCTCTCCTCTCCCCTCACTCTTTTCCTTACTCCTTGAGAATGACAGATCGCTTGGAAATTGAGGCCTTGGATAGGTTTGGTAGGTATATCAACCTCCAGATGTGAATGTTGCCATCTTAGGTCATCTTGCTCAGTCCTAATATGTCTAATATGCATTACGTACTCTAGGTTGGTTCCTAGAGTACTCCAGAAACAGTGAAGAAGTGCAGCCAGAGTGCTCCTTGGAGGCCAGGATGGCCAAACTTCGTCTCTCCTACTTCTGACATATTGTCAGGAGGGACCAGTCACTGGAGAAGGATATCATGTTTGCTAAGGTGGGGGGTCAGAGAAAAAGAGGAAGACCTCCAACAAGATGGATTGGCCAAGTGGCAGCGTCGATGGAGTCAAGTGTGGCAACAGTAGTGAGGTTGGCCAGGGATCGTGCAGTGTTTCGTTCTGCTGTGCATAAGGTCATTATGAGTCGGTACGGACTCGATGACCCTTAACAACAACAACAACAACAACAAGAGGTACTAGCGCCAGTTTGGCAGCATTCTCTCTTCAAATTTGTGAGCTTTCCATTGTCTGGGGCCTCACAGTTTACAGGATGGTCTCTTCCCCTCCACCTAGACAAATCTTTTGAAATTCAAATTTCCTAAGCCAGGCTTCCACCATTCCTCTGTCAATTTGTCATGCTGTGGTGGTTAACATGTTGTTATGACGTTGGAAACTATACCATTGGTATTTTAAGTACAAGGAGTCCTGGTGTGGTTAATGCTTCAGACTGCAAAGCCATTTGAACTGCAAGGTCAGCTGTTCAAGCTCACCAGCTGCTCCTTGGAAACCCTATACAGGTTCACTATGGGTCAGAATCGACTCGATGGTACTTAACAACAACAACAGGATACACCCATGGTGTGGTGCTGTAGGATTAGCACTCTACCATAGGGCCAGTTTGATCCACAAGGTCAGTGGTTCAAACTCACCAGTCAGTCCTCAGAAACCCTATACAGAGTCACTATTAGGCAAAACTTGCTCAACAACATTTAACAACAACACACCCATGGTGGACAGGTTTCAGTTTAGCTTCCAGACTAAAACAGATTAGGAAGAAAGAGCAACAGAGTACTAGTAAATGTTTATTCATGGAAATGTTCTGAATAGCAGTAGAGCAATATCAAATAACACCAGAATATTGAATATTGAAATATGATGAGTAACACTAGATTATTGTTAACTAAATCAAGCCTCGACTTTCGTTATTGAAAGATTCTCTGGGCAAATTATTGAATGATGCTGGAAACATCAAATGAAAATGGAAGGAATATACAGAGTCACTGTATCAAAAGGAAATGGTTAATGTTCAAC